TTGATTGTTAGAATACAAATAATGATGCTGTTTTCTAGGCAGAAATCTGCTCACAAGTTCAGGATCAAACCTCTTAAAAGGACATTCCACGACGATGTTCTTTTAACACAAACGTGCAATCAATAAAGTATATGAGTCCTCTACACTGTAAATCAAAATCAGTCTCTATTGCATCCGCTTTCCAGAATAATTAAAACTTTTTTTCACTGAGCTCAAAATCTTTTTATAAACATTAATAGTAGAGCTATTTGCACCTCAGACTTTGAAATGTGTGTTCACAAAAATGGATCTATTATTTATTATCCTGGTACTATTAAGATCTTCTCAGTTAGAATCTTCTTTAATCAGCTTAATGTCTCCCCGTCAATTCTCCAACTGCATCAGATCCAAGTTCAGAATTTTCAATAAAGCATCGATTGTGCAGATATTTCGAATAATAAGGCATCTTTAAATTATTTTTAATTAATTTTTTTCATGAAGTTCAACGACTGATGAGTCACTTTCCGATTTGATAAAATATTAAAATATCTTTTTTAATCAATACTTTATTTGTAAGGTAATGGTATTCTAATCTTTTAGGATTTGTCACCTGAAAAATGTGAAAATATACATTAAAATCGAAGTTAATTTTATATATGTCAGTTATATAATGAGCAATCCATAAGCACCAATAAGTTATAATTATGAAGTTTTTATTTTTTTTTTAATAAATTTCTTTGACACATTCTTTGATTCATGGTTTAATTATTTAAGGTGCTACGAGTAAATACCTAGGTACTGAAAAAATGTTGAGCTTATACATGTAACAGCTTAACATTAGTAAATAATTACTTTAATATTTTGTAGTATCTTAAATTACGTTTCTATGCTTTTGTAATTGTGCATTTTATAATTATACAGCCACGTACATACTCTTTATGATCTTTTTCTCCACTTTCAAGTTAACTGCATAACTGTAGCTCTGTAGTTGAGAAAATTCGAACAGGTAAACCAGAGAGCTACAGATCTAAATGGTTTATAAACCTTCGATTTACGCTAGATGTAGATTTTTTTGTCGCTTAGGGCCTTATTTTTGTTTATAAGATTAATTAACAGAAACCATGCTTTTTGTGAGGGAACGCATATATATTTTTATACATGTGTACAAGAAATAATACCCTTAGCTTGCGAAAAAAGTATTGCCGTATGGAATTTTTTTTAAAATGATTGGATTTTTATACATTTAGTTAGATCTCTAGATTGGGTGTCCGAATTTTCTAAGATAGCTACAATTCTGCAGATTCTATCAAACTGAAATTAGTAACTTATAATGAACAGTTAAAGCCTGAAAACTACTGGAAACAATATCAGTTATTAAAGTCTAAAAGGTCTATAATATCAGTTAACGTCTAAAAGGTTCAATTTGTATTGTCTTACGTAAGTACAAAGTATTAAATGTTCAATTTGTATTGTCTTACATAAGTATGAAGTTTTCCTTTAAATATTGAATGACGGGTCACCTCGTCTTGTATTTCCCGATATGTTTATTTAAAAAAAGTTCAACAATCTCCCAGGATACAATGTATCCCTTAATTTAGTGTACATGGGATTCATGAAATAAATATTCTCACCAAATAAATATGTTCATATATTTGTGTTAAAATTAAAACTATGAGAAGATTTTTTCATCTAGGATAAAAAGCAAAGTTACTTACTTGACTTTTAAACCGAGGAAAGCTTTGAACAAATATGTTGATATAGCAGGGGAGTCATAATGTTTTGCATATGTTTGGTTGTAACAATGGCTTTTTTGCAAATACAACGTTGCTGATTGGTGTTTTACAAACAAGTACAAATGTACTAATCGCCCTTTTACTGCATTGTAGAGTTCAATAAGCTTAAAATCCAAAAAAATAATCTTGTAGAGATTAATGTACGAATCTAAGTTTGTCGGGAATACCATGACTCATATACACTGATCAAAATATAAAATTATATGATTTTGTTTTAAATACAAGAGGCCCCCGGGCCTTATAGGTCACCTGAGTATCATGTAACAACTTTCAAACAAATGAATTTCGTTCGTGTTTTAAACCTGAGGCCATGAGATTCACAATTTTGGAAGAGGCACTATTGCTTATCATAATGATAAACTTGGCATGCTTATGCTATTTACTTAATAACTAGAAGTAGATCAGAGTAACAAAGAGAAAATGCACTTCCACTTTATAACCAGTTGTGCACCCCACCCCAAATGAACCACTGACCCTGGAGCCACATATTTCAAAATTTTGGAAATTTTATCATAAATTTTATTTCATCATGAATGGTTGATTAATACCAAAGAGCAGATTTCAAAGCATTAATTTATTTTTAACAGACTATGTAACCCTCCCCCCACCCTCCGATACCTCGGACCCAGGGGGCATGAAATTAACCATTTTTCTAGATGCACATTTTTTCATCATAAATATATATACTTGGATCATTAGCATAATACCCAGGAGCAAAGGAAAAGATTGTCAAAGATTTTCAAAGAATTAATGTATTTTTACTACATAATCAAAAGAGCCCCCCCCCCCTTACACCAAATGGCAAAACCTCTGACACAGGGGCCATAAAATTCACAATTTTGAAAGAGGCAAAATTGCTAATCATAACTATGTACTTAGTTAGTTTATTTAATACCCAGGGGCAGAGAAGAAGATTTTCAAAGAATGCATTTTCACTATATCATCAATAGAGCCCCGCCCTAACACCAGGACCCCTGACTCTGGGGCCATAAAATTCACAATTTTGGAAGAGGCACTCTTGCCCATTATAACTATGTTCTTAGTTAGTTTATTTAATACCCAGGAGCAGAGAAGAAGATTTTTGAAGAATTAATGCATTTTCACTATATAATCAATAGAGCCCCACCCTAACACCAGAGCCCCTGACCCTAGGGCCATGAATTTCACAATTTTGGCAGAGGACTCAATAGACATTACATTCATCCTAACAGTTTGCCTGCTTGATGTCCAGGAGTAAAGAAGAAGATTTTTAAAGATTTCATTAATATTAGTGGTTTTGTTCCCACCCCTCAGGCCCCAGAGGGGCAGGGACCATGAAATTCACAATTTTTGTTTCCCTTTACCCATAGATGCTGTATACAAAATTTGGTGGAAATTGGTTCAGCGGTTTCAGAGAAGAAGCTGAAAATGTTCAAATGTTAACACACGACGGACGACGACGGACGAAAACGGATAGCAATAGGTCACCTGAGTGACTCAGGTGACCTAAAAAATATCTGTAAGATATTTAGTTCCATTTATTTAATGTTTTTCGTGTTTTGAAAGGTAGTTTTGAATTGGTTGTTAAAACAATTAATACATTAATCTGATTTCTACAAAAATTTTATATCAATTTTCAGTTGTTGTGAAAGAGATCCCATATATATATGTATAACGCCCAATTTATAGTTCGTGGGAGTTGAATTCTGATATATTTAACAACTAAGAATCGTTTATATTGTACATCAAACCAGTTTTAGGTAATGATTGCAGTTTGATTATGTATCGAATTAGGAATCTATTCTGCGCTTATGTCAACGTCATTCTATTTACGTAGTGAGTTGTACTTAAAATACTGTGATTTTGGGATATCGATAAATGCAAACAGTGTTGCAGTAGCTATACAGTCAAGTATAATAGTTATTGCTTATGCTACAAATAGGGGATCAAAGATCAGGGTCTAAATAAAAGTATTGTTAGTATTGTTAGCCCTTGCTTTATATTTTCACATCGATAAAGTCGTGGTTCTTTTGTGTTAGTTTCATTTGAGTAGGATTTATAGTATACTTAATCAAATTGCATAATCCAAGATCGTACCTTACATAAATTTTACCTCAATTTTTTTTATCATTGTAAGAAAAGAACCATGTTCTCATTTAAGCTTACAGTTGCATATTCAGACCCTCTTCAAATTATTAACTTTTCTGAATTAAGTTTAATTTAATCTTACTAAACATATTGAAATTTTAATTTGATTAATATTTTATTATGTAAGTAAGATTACATAATAGGATTGGACATCAGGCATGGCCTATATAAGTCCTCTCCAAGGTCAAGATCCATATATTGAAAGCCAAAGACTCCGAATCAAATTCAATGTCTTCTTTCCAAGCTGAATGAATCTCAGATATCTCTTGTTAAATATTTAAAAAAAAACACATGTACATTGTACAACATAAAGAAATGACTGTTATCATCACATTTAATTTACCAAAATAGTAAATCACCCCCGGCTAGAAAGGGTGTGGGTGTGTGTGTGTGTGTGGGGGGGGGGTTAATCGATGAGTTTTATTTGGATAATATCGGGTCACACTTACTCATTATTTCAGCATACTTTGTTAGACAGTGAAGATAAGACATTATAAATGTTTTATTTTACAATTCCTTTTTATATATAAAAAAAAGGAAAGTTTAAACCACATGAATTTAGAAACTTTTTTATTACGAAAAAATATACACAATTTAAGCAAATCTAAACAACTAACCGAAAATTATTTTTAAGGTATACATAAACTATGTGGGACCTACATAGTGTAGTATACTGACATATAGAATATGTACAAAAATAAATCAACGTTTACAAAAAATAACTTGTAAATGAATGGAATATATGGATTGAAAACATCGGAACAAGTCACAAATTCTTACACCTATTAGAAAAATTCTAAAAGAAGGTTGAAACTTAAAAATCTTATGACAATGACCAACACTGCATAAAAACTAAAATAAAAAGGTTTTTTTTTCAGATTTAAATAATCATGTTCTCTACGAGAAAAAAATGTCATTTACAGTCTCCAATCAACATCTGTTTGCAAATTACAATAAAATATTTTTCTCATATACATGTTCTTTTATTTGTCTCTCATATACATGTTCGTAAGTAACATTTGTACATACCAAACATTACATGTCATAAACAAATAAAAAACGAATGAACATTTGAATATTTCTTTTGATTTTTTAGGCTTCTTTGAATCTTCATGTCAATTGTTTTTAATTAATTCGACTGAAAAGGGAATGAGAAAATACGAGAAAAAAGAATTATACATACTGCACGTTTTTTTTTCTTCATAATTTTGTGTGTGTGCATGTTTTTTACCCAATATAAAGAAAATAATAAGGACAGGTGAAAGAATTTCTAAAGACAGGTGGAAGAATTTCAACTGCAATACATATAATTCATAAAACATTTTTGAACCATTGCAACATACTTTTTTGCAATAAAAACGTCAAACAACAGTACCACTTCCCTCTGTTTTCGTGGACTGTTTTTTCAAAAGCTGGGAATTAGAAGAATCGGTTTTCAGTTTCTTATTTCTCTTTTCTTTATAGCTTTTCGCAAAACATTCGATGTACATATGATAAAAATCTCGTCTGAATTTTTCACCACATAGCAAATATATGAATAAATTAATAGCGTAACTTAAGTAGTATAAGGTGTAAAATAGTTTTTGTAACACCATTTCGGTTGTCGTGAAATGGTCACGCTTCATTATGTATTTGGATAAAGCCATTATAGTTCGAATGACATGACTGGGTAGATTAAGAGCCAAAAACACAAGGGAAACTGTAAATAATAGTTTCGTAACTTTGGAATGGTTTCTCGACCTCTTGTTCACCGTTTTTTTCCCGTTGAGTCTTCGAAAACGATGGTAGCTTCTGAACAGATGAAAAGTTATGGTGACCATGAGAAATGTTATAAGCAGCGCCGGAAGTACCAGCGTCAAGGCTGTATCCATGTGTACAAACATTTGAAATAAATCATCATAGGTCGAAATCTCAGTGCAGCGTCCATCAGAAACTTTCAGTGTCCACAATGGAAAATTGTACAAAGCAAGGGCTAATATAAAGAAAACACTGATGACGAGTTTCGAAATTTTGGGGGTACAGTACTCCATTACAGAAAAAGGATGGCAGATTCGTATATAATTTTCTGCAGTGACAATTACAACAAACCAAACAGATAAAAATCCACAAATGTAAGAGAGGAAAATGGTCAATTGACATGCTCCCGGAGAGTTAAAAATAGCCGTGTCCGTCACATCCGTTATCCATACAATGATGAGTGAAATCAAGAAACCAATGTCCGAAACGGAACGAGCCGCTAGGTACAGGCAGCAGGAAGTGGAACGTTGGGACTTACTGAGAAATACAGTGAGAGCAAAAATACTCCCAATGAGGCCAACAAAACAAAAAACGGGATTAGAATACTTTTGAATTTTTGAGAATATTTTTACAATATCATCTGGCTCTGCATCTTGAAGGAAGCTAAAGTTTGAAGTCGTATTCATCATGGTATTCTCTTCAGATGCAAAATATTCTTCCTTTACGTCTTCCGTAATGAGACCTGAAATATACAATATGAATATATACTAAAATTTATGATAAGCATGCACATGTACGTTATTACATTTACATGTGTACTATAAAAGTTTACTACCTTTTAGGGCTACTTTTCAATGTAAATTGCGAATACAAGTCAATCTCTATATTCTTATACAGATGAAAACAATTGCCTTTTCTACTCAAGATCGATAAATTATCACTTTAGCATATTATTTTCTCTTTTCAACAACTCCAATTATTTTGCGGAAATTATATCGTATTATTCGTAAAGTTATGCAACAGTATCACGTTTCTCTCAGGAAAAGTGGGATTAGCCGCACTAATGACCACTAAAACTTAAGAATTGTTCACACGTCAAACCGATTATAACGTAATTCACAATATCCCGAAAAGAAAATCAATTAATACCCTTACCTCCCTCTAAGACAACTTATGGGTGTAAAATCTATGTACGTATACTAAAAATTGACGACAGATATGAAAGAGACGATTTTAAACTTATTTATCAATTGAAGAATAATTTTATACATGTACCTGTGTTTATAATGTTAAGGCTTATAAAACTCGCTCTCTGCCAAAAAAAATAAACAAAATTGGTTCCAACAAGTTCTCTTCAATTCTAAAAACAAAACTTAGATCGAACATTTGAATTCAATTTCACAAAATGTTATTTAATATTCTCTTGCATTCTGGGAATGAAATTGCTTCTCTCATTTACCAAATTGACTTTTGATTTTTTCCTTCTCAAATTTCAATTTTATCGATTTCTTGCTGGTAAAAAGCTCTACGAATGGTAAATTGGAGGTAATTTGTATAACTGTACTTCTTAAATTACTTTGTGAACACCAACATGACCAATCAATCTAATTATTTCTCATGTGTGAAATGCCAAAGTTGGAAAAGACACACACAAAAAAAAGAGACATCAGACAAATTGATACTTGATTTCTGCTTTTAATAACAGAGATATATTTGAACAAAATAGAACTACGGTGCCTACATGCATACGTAAATTCCTAATCTCGCCCCATTTCTAGTTGTATTTTTTTCAATGAAAACCTATGACTGGTAAGATTGTGTGTATCTTGCAAAGCAGCATGCTTAAGTTAAAACATATTTTATTGAAAGGATTAGGAAATAGGGAAAACCTATATACACCTTCTCCTTGTATAAAAGGTCAAAACAGAGATACCTTACAATCGGTTATTTTCGCGATGTTCATTTTTCGCAATTTTTGTGATCTTTATTACTGAAAAAAAAACAACGCAGACGTGTCGGTTATTTTGTGCCTTAAAACACATATTTATAAAAAAAAAAAAATTATTGCCAAAAAAAAGAAAAAAAAAACAATTATTAAATGCAAAGAAAAAAAATTGTAGAACTTTACCCTTTTTCGCAAAATTTGCAACAACCAAAAAATAAAAGGATATACAAGTGTGATCAATTGGCAGGGCATGATCACTCCTCCATGGCACCCAATCCCCCTCCTCTGATGTTTTAGAGGTCCGTGCTCTGCTTCTGATTTCAATTGTTTGAATGGGCTTTAAAGCTTGAATACTGGTCGTTATCTCCATATATTTCACGTTGAATTTTAGAGAAGCTTGGGAGGAAAACACTGTCACGTAGCAGCTGCTTCTATGACTTATTTATGTCAATAGCGTCTTTCCTTTCAATCGCTGCTTCTGCTAAAAAAAACTTGAGGATTCGAAGCTTGGTGTCTTTTTGTATGGCATAATTTAGAGGATATTCTAGTTAAGAATGTATCTTTCCTTTAAAGGATTTAAACAAAGAAGCTTTGTACCCATTGAGCCAGAAAGTATTTTAAAATTTTAAGGTGAATATGAAAAACGACGATGCCAAAGGAATTGTTTATGAAGTTTTAAAAGATTCTTTCAGGATCGATTTCATATGATTCAGATACGTTACGGGCAAGTTAAGTCTTGTACATCTAAATGTTCTCGATCGTTTTAGAAGTGTTCTACCTGGTTACATGTATATGTATTAATTTAATACAATCCTGCAGCTCTTTGTATCTTTTGAAAGTTTTTACGTTTTTTCACTGTTAACAGTAACAAGAGTTCTGCATTCATACGATATAGAAATATCGCCAGCTGATATAGATACATGTAACATTTTAAAATAGATGATCTAAACCTTCTCCAATTAAAGTATTCGTCTATCATGTCATTAGATACAAGAAAACATTGATGTAACCATCAACTGTCGCCCGGGAAATACATAAAGTAAACAATGGAAATGAGTCTTGACCATCAAACCGCTTCGATATGTGTGAAAAGGCATGCGTCTAATTGATGGAGACGATAGTCGCGAATATTTTGAAAACTTATATAGTCGGATAAAAATCAAACAAAAACGAGACCATTTTAAACTTGATCAATTCCTCAAGTAAATGTTGGCTGCATAAAATATAAATTGAAGTTAGAAACATGCATCACCTATATTATAAAAATGTAGGTAATTTTTATCTTTAGAATATAAAACACGAACTGTGCAGAGTACGTTTTTATGCGAAAAGTAAAATTCCATGTTCTAAAAAAAGGGACCTGTCGTTTTTTCGACAGTAAATGATAAGCAACTTTATATATTAAAAATGAAAAACATATATATTTTTACAGATTCACTTTGTTGAAGTAAATACATTTGTATATTATGTATCTCGTAATTTTTAAAGGGAAAGAACATTCTGATTAACAATCTTTTTAATGTTTTTAAAACCTTTAATTCTGAATAACTTCTCCCACCTCAATCCCCATACACCAACACTTAAACGTATATGTATAGAGCAGTCCGGTCCTCCGGGCTGCAATAAGTTTTAAAGTCCGTAGGAATTATCTTGAAATATCTGTTCAGCTTTTAAAATAAGTAAAGTCGTTATTTCTTTACAGAATAAAACATTGTTTCATTAGTTAAAAAGGCCTCATATTAGTTGACACGGAGACTTGTGACATATTATCACTCTTTTATGAATAGAAAGAATGTTCGTGATATGTCAAAGGCTGTGTAACCTATCGGGCATAGCGGTTGATAATGATCTGCCAACTGCTTTTTAGAAGATGGGTCGATAAACTTATGAAAGCTATATCCTATTATTCTGGACCAGAAAATATTATACATACAGGCATCAAGGGTCATTATTTACTTTTGTAGGTAAGGACAAAAAAACCTATATTTTCTATATAAATAAAGGAAAAGATACAGAAACAAATGCAAGGTGTAAAAAAGTTAAAGGATTTCAGAAAAAAATATTTAAGGTAAGGAAATTAGTTCTTCAATCAACGAATATACTGCTTAACGATAATACATGGACAAAAATGTAGAACTATTGAGAAAAATAGTTTTAAAACATATAAATACAAATGAAGTTTTAAAACACCTCAAATATTGATTGCACTCTTTATAACAAAACAATTATTACAAACTTAATTTTGTAAGGAAATGTTAACTATAAAAGTGGCGACCATGCAAATACTGTGGCCCTTTTCATAAAAAATCTTGTAAGAATAAGATTCCACCACTCTGTAAGAAGAAGGTACGGTTTTAGTTTTATTGTGTCCTAAAAATTGAATGTCGTCAAAAAGTTGTGAAACTGGCTTAAATGTTAGTTGAGTTGAATGTTAGTTGAATTTCTGACTATGATAAATCAGGAAAGAATATGGCATGAAGGAGTACCATTCTGGAATTTTTAATTTTTTTCTTTAATTTGGAATAAATTTGATGCATTTCTCTATTTTAAACAGAACAAGAAATCTGTGAGCCAATGCTCACCAGTAATCCCCCCGCTCTGATGTAAATAAGCACTATCATGTTAATATACACAAGTTCAATTACAGGCAGATGCACAGAAAAATATGAAGTTGACATCAGATTATATATATCCCACCATATGGCATGCCTCAACAAAGAGTGTACCCGTAATGGAATTTCAAGCATCCGCTATGAATAGCTAATGAGAAAACTGCGACGAAGATTTGTTATGTATGAAACGGACAGACGCACAGACAAACAGGAAGTTGATATCCGATTTGAACAGAAATGTATCCCAACATATGGAATACCTTAGAGAAGACTGTGTTAAAATTTCAAGCATCTACAATGAGTAGTTGCAGAGAAAACTGTGACGAAAATTTGTTATGTATGAAACGGACAGATGCACAGACAAACAGGAAGTTGATATCGGATTTGAGCGAAAATTTATCCCACCATATGGCATGCCTCAAAAAAGATTGTTTTAAAATTTCAAGCATCTACGATGAGTAGTTGCTGAGAAAACTGCGACGAAACAGGAAGTTGACATCGGATTTGAGCGAAAATGTATCCCACCATATGGCATGCCTCAGAGAAGATTTTTTAAAAATTTCAAGCATCTACGATGAGTAGTTGCTGAGAAAACTGCGACGAAACAAGAAGTTGACATCGGATTTGAGCGAAAATGTATCCTCTCATATGGCATGCCTCAGAGAAGATTGTGAAAATTTGTTACGAAAATTTGTTACGGACGGACACACAGACACACGGACAGACAGACACACAAGGGTAAAACAGTATACCCCCCTCTCCTTCGGAGCGGGGGTATAACAAGGTGTGTTTGTGAAGCACTATGCGCCCGGCGGCAACAATGTTCAAAAAATATTTTTAGCAGGTAAGTCAAAGTCAAGGTCAAGGTCGTTGACCTTGGTGTCATTTAAGAGAACTTTATTAGTGGGGTATGCATACCACATATGAAGTCCCTATCTCTCATGGTTCAAAAGTTATGGCGAAAGTTCTCAAAATCTATTTTTAGCATATAGGTCACAGTCAAGGTCACAAGGTCATTGACCTTGGTGTCATTTGAAAGAACTTTATTAGTGGAGTATGCATACCAAATATGAAGACTCTATCTCTCATGGTTCAAAAGTTATGATGAAAGTTCGAAAAAGCTATATTTAGCATATACGTCATAGTCAAGGTCACAAGGTCATTGACCTTGATGTCGTTTAAAAG